ATATGCACATATAATCAATGATATCAGTGTTCAGGCAGCTGATGAACAAAAACTGTCTCCTTCTCTTCATCTTTTGTTCGGCTTATGAAACTGAAATGCTACTGTGTAACGAACTGTCTAACTATGGCATAACATTAGGCAACACTTAATGTTGTTTCAGTTCATTGACTTGATCAACTAGAGTAAAAACAACAATGAATTTTTTTTAAATTTTACTTGCCAAAACTATACTTTTGATGGATTAGAAAAATAGAACGTGTTTCCGGAGCTGATACAGCATTTAAATTGAGGGCCCCCCAAAAGAATTATCTTTTAACATTAGGATTATGACAATGATTGTTCGACTTAAATGACAAAAATAAACTAAAAATTAAACCAAATAAAGGTCTGGCTTTACTGTAAAAACACCAAAACACCCTAAAGTATAGCTTAATTATTTTTGTCACCAAAACAACATGTTAATGCAATAAAAAGTAATTGAGTCAAACTAATTTTTTTTTCATTCATGATGACCTACTCAAGCTAAATGGTTTGCAAAAATCAAATAACTAAAATATATTTGTAGTATGGCATTATTTATTCCTCAGTCTGGTGAAGACAAATGTAGTCCCACAGAACTTACAATAAAACCATTACACACCATTTACTTTACAGATAAATAACTAAATGATACATCTGGATGTCTAGACCCTCCTTGACCTTCATGATACTGTATGACTTGGGTATGTCACTGTGCATACCAATGTACATGAGTCTTACATATTACATTCACGGCATGGGGTGTATTACTGTGTATTGAGTACACTGACTGACTGAGTTTGGTTTTTCGCCGCTTTTAGCAATATTCCAGCAACATCACGGTGGGGGACACCAGAAATGGGCTTCACACATTGTGCCCATGTGGGGATTCAAACCCGGGTCTTCGGCATGACGAGCGAACATTTTAACCATTAGGCTACCCCACCGCCCCTGTATTGAGTAGAAGAATAGAAATTTCTTGAACTTTACTTTCCAAACAGTCATTTCTTAACTTTACTTTAAACAGTCATAAAAACGCGTAAAATCTACAGTGATTGATGCTAAGAGCTACTCACAACCTGGGACCAATGACACACAATCAACAAAGTCACTGATTTAAGTGATTATATTCATCCAATCCCCTTAATGCCTCTCACTACAAGACCAATTACTGAGTGATATTAACAAGAACAACTTGGGTAAATTTCACATTCTGAACAGAAAAATAAACAGGACAGAAGTGATGCATAATAGTTTCATAGTCTTATTTAAAAGTTTCAGTGTCATCGATATTTCAATTAAGTGAAAATAGAAAAGATTTAATGGTTTAAAAAAGCAATTTAAATGGTTTTAATTTGTGCCCCTTTGTCAGTTGTCTAAGTGCCAAGGTTATTTATTATGGCAAATATGGTTGGTAAATTGTTTCTGTATTAAAGGTGAGATAACTTCGGGACTAGGTTTTAAAAAAACAAGGCTCATAATTTTTGGGGAAAAAACAACTAAACCTTTATGAGTTAAAAAAAATCTCAGCCTCAATAAAACATCTCGACATCAACATGGCCATCCTCATAAAGACAGAGTCGTTTTCGAGAAAAGCAATATCTTTGTTACAGAGGCATCAACATGAATGACTGTACGCCTGTAACATGTATTTATTAATAATCATTTCAACTCTTCCATTTAAGGAGACCATTTTAAGCACATCTCATGTGAAAAGTGAGAAAATCTGAACATTCTTGCAATAGGTTGTATTGAAAATGTGACTAAAAAATAATTTCTTTGTTTATGTGGACAAAAACACTCAGATCTTAAAAATGAAGGAACTGTATCTCTAAAGGATTGGGCTGTACAGTCAAAAGATTTTGGCATTTTTAAGAGGACTTATAATTGAACAAATCAAAGCACTCAATGAGGCAAAAAGATTTATGCAATAATTCTCCCCAGTAGGAACCCGATATTTTTCATCATATTTGACTTTGACTAATTTTTTTCTTTAACAGTTGAACAATAAGTTAGCTTTATGTGGAAGAAATTCATATGTGATGACGGACACATTTTAATAAAGCCATGTACTCAATGCTATGTCCCAGGATTCCAGTTAGAACAAGCGGAAACGTTTAGGATGATCTCATGTACCATTCTCTGTGAAAACATTCCAAATTTCTCACATGACAACATAAACATAACCTATCTGTGTAAAAATACTTAGTCCATTTTTCTTCTGTTAAAACTTCACAATTAATCTATTTTAAGTAAATTATTTATATGGATATGCAAAACAGGTGTTTTTAATTGAACAAAAGTCTTTGGAACCAAATACACTATCACAAATAAGCAGAGATGTCATATATTATGCAAGTTCCATGTCTAAAATGTGAGAAAGCACATTATTTCCCATCTGTGGCAGCAGTTTGTTTACGAGGGAGGACAGTGTTTCTACAATGCTAACAAGTACACCAAACCAACTGTTTTGCAACATCCAGGCATAGTAATTTAATTACTGTCAGAAAACTCAACACTTGAACAAATGTTAGACTTTGCTTTTTCCCATGGGGTATGTTTCCCTTCCGAACTGCAAACAAAATAGCTCCATATTCCTTGCTTGATTCAAAGTTGCTTTCAGAAACACATGATTAAATTTTATTGTTTTCATAATGAAGAAATTGCCACATTCCTGACAGCTGAAGAAATAGTTCGTCGTGGGAGGTAGGTTTTATATATCACAGGTTTACAAAAATATGCCCAGGCAAATGATGGACAAAGGGAGATCACTGTGCCTAAAGATGATGTAGCCAGAATCATCCTCAAAAGAAAATCTGTCCAAAGGAATCCTGGTTCAAATCCCCATGCAAATATTGTTGTTGTTGTTTTTTTGGGGGGGGAGTTGGGTTGTGTTTTTTCAATATTGTGATAAAATATATTTCAAAGCAATTTTACAGACTGAGTTAAAAATTATTTTATACACCTATTCTTATAACAGACAAATACATTAGAAGCCTTGAATAATAAATCACAGTAGATTGAATTGTAATGTAACAAATATGATTCTAATGTAAATACACAATTTTAAAACACACACAAATGTTTATCGCTGATTTTGTAGGGTGTAATCATAGTTATAGCTATAATAAAGCAATTCATTTTTATCTGACTAAATATCATAAACGTAACTCAATGCAAAATATAAAGATAGTTGTCTCACTTTTACCTATTTAAACAAATGTCAGAGTATGATGGAAAAGGAAACAGAGGAACACTTCTAAATGATACTAAAATGACTCTCTCTTTATGGGGCAATGTATCAGCATCTGTCATGATGCCAACAGACAAGTCACTTCATGCTATCAAACATGTAAGAGTTATCTCCCTTTATTTTCCCCACTTTCATATCAAGTGAATGAATCTGTTGATGTCCAAGCTTGTGTTAGGTTCCTCTGGTTGAGAGGAAGAGTCTTACAAAAACTTCTGTCACAAAAACTATGGTTAACATAAGTTCAAAAGGACGACAAATGTTAGTTTGTTATTAACAATCATTGTTATACACATTTTGTCTAAAATTTACAAGCGGCCCAACCAAAGCCCCCACCCATAAATTTGGTCACATCTGTCAGTTCACTATGAGTAGTTCAGTATCAACATAGTTTAATGTAGATGCAATTCCTCTCCCCTAACATGACAAAGTGTAAAGGGTACACACCTGAATCTATCTGTGTCAGATGCAACTTGGTAATATGTGTCTTGAATTCGTATGATTCCTAATCCCTAGTACTATTGTCATAGCAATATCCTGATGGAGAATGTTAAAAGTAGGGCTTCACATTTTGTAACAGGCTTTGCCTGATGATCCTAGAAAAGGCAAGGGCAGATAACTCTAACCACATTTGAAGTGGGCTATGTGCATTTCCATGGCAGTTATTGTTCAAATGTTATTCTATAGTTGTACTCCACCTTCACCATTAACTAATGAAATCTGGACAAGTCTTGGTCTCAGTGCTACACTGTGGATATAGGCACTGAGGTTGCCTTGAGGTCAATGCATTTGTTTAATCCACAAAAGGTCAAGGTTAAATTCCCAAATGGGGAGAATGTGTGGAGCCCAATAGGGTGTTGTTGGCATGGTTACTGCAGAATGCTATACATTCCACAAAGCGAACTTAGCACTAAGGTGATATAACTCCCATGCTTTAACATAAGTGATCCTCTTAGCACTAAGATCACTTCTTGGAACGGGGTGCAGGTACTTTCGGTTATAGGAAAATGTACTAAAAATATATCATAATACTGTGAGAGAGTGAGTTCAGTTTTACGCCGCTTTTAGCAATATTCCAGCTATATCACGGTGGGGACACCAGAAATGGGCTTCACACATTGTACCATTGTAGGGAATCGAACCCGGGTCTTCGGCATGACTAGCAAATGCTTTAACCAGTAGGCTACCCCAAGGAGTTAAGTAAGCAGTACAAGCACAAAAGTAAGCACTACGGGCACTATAGTAGTGAGTGAGTTTACCCTGCTTGGAACAGTACTCTAGTTATATCTAGGTATGTCAGCTCGATGTGGGAAGAAAGCATGAAGTGATGCAGGTCTCTGTGTTTACCACTTTGGTAACCCGCAAAGATCCGGCCTAGAATTGATCTTCAGTAACCCATGCTTGTGGTAAGAGGCGACTAACGGGATTGGGTGGTCAGGCTCGCTGACTTGGTTGACACATGTCATCATATCCCATTTGCGTAGGTTGATGCTCATGCTGTTGATCACTGGATTGTCTGATCCAGACTCGATTATTTACAGACCGCCGCCATATATTGCTGTGTGCGGCATAAAACAACTCACTTACTCACTCACCATTTTGGTGGTGCTGCCTGGGAATACAAAGCCAATCCTGCCTGCTACAAGCACTAAAGTAAGCACTACCAGCACTCCAGTACACAGTAAAAGCACTCCACTACACACTACAAGCACAGATTACACACTGTACTGACCTCCATGGGATGACGTTGCTCCTTGTGCATCAACGGCAACAACAACTTCCTGGGACGTCACAGACGTACTGTCTGGTTGATAGCCTGTGTTCTGGCCTGCTATTGAATCTGTGGATCAGAATGTTGGCAAGTGGAGGCACAAACTCTGTCAGACACAAACTTCAATACAACTAACCTAGTCTGTCATACAGACCCTGAAACAAATATATCCAAGAAAGCCCATGCCCATGCAAGTCTAGATAACCACCGTCTCTGGGCCCCTTTTTATTGTATTTAAAAGATTGTAGGAGAAACTTGCTGTAAACAATTTCCCTTACAAGCAAAAACATAATGAAAGTCAAAGCACAATTTTTGTGTCAAAGTATACCCCAGTCAGGGCACATTTATAGGAGCTAATCTCTACATTGCTCTAAATTCCTATGCCTAATATGAGAAATGATAACTTCAAATTTCTCCCCCAAAACATACAGAGACTCCTTACTGCCCTTTTCATATACAAATATAAATTATGACTGATTTGTCAAATTGAAATATATATTGCAAACAACAACAGAATCTAGTGCTATCACTGGAAATGGAAGCAACCAACTTCTATTCTCAGGACCCGTGAAGATCCGAGTTAGAAATGCTTGTCGTAATAGGCAACTAACGGGATCAGGTAGTCAGGCCAGGCTCACTGGCTTGGATGACACATGTCATCGTATCCCAATTGTCTAGATCGATGTTCATGCTGTTGATCACTGGATTGTCAAATCAAGACTGGATAATTTACAGACTGCTGCCATTTTGCTGGAATATTGCTGAAAGTGGCGTTAAACACCAACCAACCAGTCCACAAATCATGATAACAAGTGAAGCATTTATAAAATATTTGTTCCAAGTAAAAGCTAAATTACTGTCTGCTTAAAAAATATATATATAGTTCTCAATCATTAGTTTTACCTTGATTCTGAATGTATTTGCTCATGATGAATCTTTGTTAACATGAAAATGGAGTAAAATCTATGTCTAAAATAGTCCAAAAACACCTCGCTTGAGGTATATGACCTATTCTGCTTTCAGTTACCTTGCATTCGCATCTGTGAGATGAGAGCCTGACAGACAGACGAGGACAGCGTAATGACATTTGGCTGTGGCGCAGGCGCCGACACTGCCGGTTCCTGGAACTGTACGACAATCTGTGGACGACCGGACTGTGACACCTGACTTGGGAGCGACACCTGAGGCACTTGTTGGTTGGCATGATGGGGGGAGGAGAAGCCACTTGATGGAAGGATTATTTGTATCTGTGCAGGCTGCGTTGCTGATGCTGCTCCATGATGCTGCTGTTGCTGCTGGGGGTGTTGTTGAGGTTGTAGGTGCTGAGGATGTGTATGTTGTGCCAGTTGGGACTGGTGCATATGTTGTTGTTGCTGCTGCTGCTGCTGTTGCTGTTGTTGCTGCTGCTGTTGCTGGTGTTGGTTTTGCTGCTGTTGAAGTTGAAGGTCACGTGTGACCAGGCTGACCGGGTAAGGGTCAGGTGGTTGGACAACCTATAATACAAAATGATGACAAATTATTGAGCCTTTTCTCAGGTGTAGCACAATGCAAATATCAAAGGTAAAGATTTATCAGTGGTATCCTGAGATGTACACAAATGAATGATATTCATGAAAAACACATCCTTATCTAAAGAAAAAAATATAATTTATGGAATGATTCTGCGATTTGCACATGAATGGTTCATGCATATCCCTAATATTTCGCACACCATAAAATGGAAAATCCTACTAAGTAGACAGTCAGGCATTGCATTATGTCACCCTCATTATAATTATCTGTATAGTTCGACAGGTAATGGCCCCATCTGTTTCATGTACAGATTTAAACTAAAGTACAAACTCCTACTTGTTCAACCCACAGGTACAGGGGTGGAAATAACTTTAAAATTGCTAGTGTACTCCGGTACAGTGGCACATGTAAAATCACTTGCCCTGATAATTTTTCCACTATACCGGCCGTTTTCTTGTTGATTTTTTTAATAAACAACATAATTAATATTGGAAAGTCAACTGGACACCATTACAGTGTGATATACAAATTTGCTTGCCCGACAGAAAAAAACACTGGACTCGGGCGTCGGGCAATGGGTTATTTCCACCCCTGAGGTATAGTAATACAGTGAGTGAGTCTGGTTTTACGCCACTTTTAGCAATATTCAAGCAATATTACGGTGGGGGGACACCAGAAATGGGTTTCACACTTTGTACCCATGTGGGAATCAAACTCAAATCTTTAACTTTAATCTTTAAACGTATATAACAAACAGTTTTACATTGAAACGACATAAAACAAACTTGTATTTTGATCCTGGCTGTATGCTGTATATTGTAGTCGAAATGGGTCTAATAAGCTATGGTTATAACAAAAGAACATTAGTAGATACTTTGAGTTTGTTACAACCGTAGTTTACTGTCTGTAGTGAATTATATTTTATGTCACATCAGCAGTTTTTTCAGCCATATTGCGATGAAACCAAGTCTATACATATAAGTCCATTCTAAATACAAAGTTAAAAGCAGTTTCTTTACATACATATTTGTCATTACAGTATTATTTACAATAAGAAAACATCATGACACCAAAAATATAAAGAGGCAATTTGTCATACAGACCATGTACAGCCCAGTTCTTAAAGGGCATTTAGAAGTTGGACGAACATGAATACATGACACGTTTTTTATGGATAACCTGATGAAGGAGCAAGAATTAGCTCTGAATTGTTGTATGAAGAATATAATGAAGTTATCCACAAAAACGTGTCTGTATTCATGCACAGATCAGTCTGCAACTTAATTCCCATGTCGATTATTGTATAATTAAACTAAAATGCAAATTTCAACTTGTTCAACAAGCATAGTATGAGTCCTGGAAATATTGTGTGACTTGCCTGTAAGTTAATGGCCCCTGCCTCAGGCTGCTGCCCGATGCCCCGAGGAGGAAGCTGATGAGGGTTCATGTGTTGGACCACCTGGTGGTGGTGAGGCAGGGAATGTGGGACTCCATCGTTTGATGGGTAAGGCTTGTTGTTGATCAGCTTCAGTCCTGGGTAGGGGTTCTGCAGGACTTGCATGCTCTGAGAGCTTTGTATAAATTGCTGATGATGCATATTCTGATGTTCTGACGTTGGAGGAAGCTGACCAAGGGACAGGGATTCATCGGGGAATCCCATATTTGCGGCAGTGTGTGCCCTGGAGGTGGTCACGTACTGCTGCTGATGCTGATAGGGTGATGTCGGTCGGACCGGGGAGGGACATCCGTGGGGAATCTGGGAGAGGGTTGCAGCAGCTTCAGCAATGTCCTGAAGCCCACCACGACTACTGGATCTCTTCCTCCTGATGTTCATCCTCTGCTGAGCCATCTGAGCAGACGTCTGGATTGTGTGGGAGACGACTGGCGACTGGACGACATTGACACTGGAAACGATGCTGCTGGGTGATGCCACCATCACCGCCTCCATCTCAGTCTCCATTTGGTCCCCAGGATGGACCATATTGGCGATGGTTGACACGACTGTGTCTGACATCTGGCTGTCACTTGGGCCTGCATTCTGGAGCTGAAGAACAGCCAAGGCTGTGCTCTCAAGGTTCTGTGCGATCTCCTTGCAGTGTTGTCTCATGTGGCTTCTCAGAGAGTCCTCTCTCACAAACGCAGCTGTGCATATATTACAACTGAATGTTTTCTTACAATTTGGTTTAAGATTGGACCCATATCCTCTCTCCTCTCGTGTTTTAGTTGGACTGGGTGTATTCGTAGCCACAGCCCTAGCACCCTTCTTCATAATTGTTCTGCCTGGTTTACGATCTCCCAGCATCTTTTCTGGGTGTTTCTTACGTACATGGGTTTTCACATTACCACTTTGCTTTGATGAGTAGGAACAGAAGTTACAGTTAAATGGCCGTTCATCACTGTGGATGCGCATATGAGCCTTGAGGGCACTGTTGTTAGCACAGCAATAATTACATGTTGGACACTTTACTGGATGGGTTGTGTCATGAATCTTCTTATGTTCCCGAAGTAGTTTCCGTGATGATGTCTGGAAGTCACAGTAGTTGCACTTCACCTCATTCTCATTGGAATGGTTTATACGGATGTGGCTTTTCAGGTTCCCTGAAACATATGGATGAAAAGAAAGCTGGTTCCAATTCAACAAAGCAACCGTAGCTCTATTGAACAATCAGTAGTATTATGGCACTTACCAGCCGACCCCCTTCTAGTTCTACAGACTGCTTTTTTGGTCCTCAACTTTGGTCATATACAGTAAGTATAAAACATATAGCTGTGTTGCTTTAATCACTTTGTGAAACTCGGCCATAGAGTGTACACTGACATCAAATAGCACTATGGCACTAAAGCAGGCAATGACAGACATTGTTATTTGATAACTAATAATTACTGTGTGCAATATTAAGTACAATGTTTAGACAACATGAACACCTAACATATTGGATTTATACTACCTTGGCCTTTGAGATTTGATAAAATATTAAAACTGTTCACTGTACTGGAATACATTGTCAGTGATCATGTTAAAGTGTAAAAGTATATGCATCTAAGTTTTCGATAGTGAGTGAATGAGTTTAGTTTTATGCCGCTTTTAGCAATTTTCCAGCAATATCACGGTGAAAGACACCAGAAATGGGCTTCACACATTGTACCCATGTGGGGAATCGAACCCGAGTCTTCGGTGTTACGACAAACTCTGTAACCACTAGGCTACCCCACTGCCCCTAAGTTCGATAGAAGGGAGACTGTAGCATGTGGATAATGTGATGATGGCGGGACAACAGCTCAAGGGCGGGTAACTACACCTTGGATGAAACTTTTTATAAAGAATGGGATACCTCTCATAGACTTTACACAGTACATTATGTGACAGATGGTGAAGCAAAGGTCCATTATCATCCAATACTGTGTTCCACTGGAGATATTGCTTGTGTGAGATCAAACAATGTCTCCTTGGAGATATCGTTTTGATAGTAGATTTTGTTCAATGCCCTGATGTCATCAATTACATGACGTCACAATGCTATGACATCGCTGCACTGCAAGCCTAATGGCAGTACCGTGTTCAGAGATGTACATTTTTCATTAAAAACTAATGAAGAGTGATTTTTTATGACAAATAGAATCTCACCCTGGTGTCCTCTGATACCAAATATATCAACACCCGATGAAAAGAGTAAAAATATCCTCTGTAAGGCGCGGTTATTTGTAACTTTATCAACTCAAATTGATATAATTGATATCAGTAGACACTTGGGTGAGATTCTCTATATCTTCTCTCTAGACAGGAAAGGACATTCAATGTGTCAGAGACACACTTCAAAGTGACAAAGTGACATTATCAAGGGCAGGTAATTCTCTTGATTGAGGCTTCTGAATATGACGAGTGGGGCATTCCATACACACTCTTGAACTCCTTTAAACAGGACAATTATACAGATAAACAAGAAACTGATTTCAGCTCTACATCAAGGGCAGGTAATTCTTCACCTTGGATGGAACCTCACTTAATACAGATATCTGCCGTACAATATATTAACTTTAGCAGCACATCAAGGGGGGATAACTCCTCACCTCTGATGGAACATCTGTAGTCACACAGTTCACAGCCATAGGGTTTCTCCCCTGTGTGTGTGCGCATGTGACGCTTCAGGTCAGAGTTAATCTTGAACTTGGCATCACAGAGGGAGCACTGGAATGGTGTGTCCCCTGTGTGTGTGTGTGCGGAGGTGACGCTTCAGGTCAGAGTTAATCTTGAACTTGGCATCACAGAGGAGCACTGGAATGGTGTGTCCCCTGTGTGTGTGCGCATGTGACGCTTCAGGTCAGAGTTAATCTTGAACTTGGCATCACAGAGGAGCACTGGAATGGTGTGTCCCCTGTGTGTGTGCGCATGTGACGCTTCAGGTCAGAGTTAATCTTGAACTTGGCATCACAGAGGAGCACTGGAATGGTGTGTCCCCTGTGTGTGTGCGCATGTGACGCTTCAGGTCAGAGTTAATCTTGAACTTGGCATCACAGAGGAGCACTGGAATGGTGTGTCCCCTGTGTGTGTGCGCATGTGACGCTTCAGGTCAGAGTTAATCTTGAACTTGGCATCACAGAGGAGCACTGGAATGGTGTGTCCCCTGTGTGTGTGCGCATGTGACGCTTCAGGTCAGAGTTAATCTTGAACTTGGCATCACAGAGGAGCACTGGAATGGTGTGTCCCCTGTGTTGTGTGTATGCGAAGATGTTTCCTGAGGCTGCTGCTGTCAGCTGCTCCATAGTCACCTGGGGAGATCAAGAATATACATGATACAATTAGGGACCATTCATAATTTATGATAGGACTGTGGGGAGATGATGATTTGTGATGGAGAAGCATGTACAATTTGAATGACTCCCCTAAAATTTATGTACAAAGTAACTTAAGTCTCCTTTTTTTTTTCCTCCCCCCCCTTTGCATGTTATGTACAAAATTCAATGAAGGGTCCCTCAGTGACTTCACTTGATGTTGATCCAGTGACTTCCTGATCTTGGCCAAGTGATATTCACCGACTAGAAGAGCCTCCACGAATATCACTTGTCCAGGGTCAATAAATGATTGGATCAACCGAAACTGAAGCCAATAACTGTTTCATATATGACACAAAACTAAGATGGCAATGTATTCCAACTGCGTAGGTCGATGCTCATGCTGAAGATCACTGGATTGTCTGGTTCAGACTTGATTATTTACCAACCACTGCCTCACAGATGGAATATTGCTGAGTGCAGCATAAAACTAAAATCACTCACTCACTTGCACACACCTACACATATGAAATTTACTCACATTAACAGGCACTCCTCATCATGTTTTAGTGACAACTTTGTGATACTTTAAAGGAGAATACGAACGAAAACCAAACTTTTGATATATTGTAAAGGATATTCTAAAAGTCACATTCCGTGATTAAAATTGAACAAAAAAATTGTAAAATAGCAATAAAAACACGAAAACGTACTCCTATTTCCGCCTATTTTGGAAACATCCGACAGATAATGAGCAGAGGGGGTATCACGTGACATGACGTCATATGTGCCTGTTGCTAATGGCTTCCCTCTTTGATTTTACCTCACAACTTAACAGTGTCCGTGGATTCTGAAGCAGTAAAAGATGTTCCTGATGTCATTACTGAAATGGATGTTAGACCGTATCAATACGATCTGATTTTACATCTTGCAAGACAATCTTCCACTGAAGACGAAGAAAAAGAATCAAGCGAAATGGAGGCACCGCTTGAGGTCAAAATAAATTTAAAAATAGACCATATCATTTAACAAGATTTCTATTTGTCAGTAAAATGTCATACAGTTCCAACCAGCAAACTCACCCCTATAAATATATGACCAGTCACTAAGAATTATTTAAAAAAAAATGTGATTACAGTTCATTTTGTGTCAAATGGGTGACTGTAGGGTGTCTGGGATTTAAAAACAAAATAAGTATGCTTCAGACGAGAGAAAATAAAGATTATCTCTTCAAAAATTACACTGAAATTATTTTGTTGAAAAAAATTAGGATCCTAGTTCTCATTAATAACGTATCAAGTCTTGATACAAGATCCCAGCCTGGTCGAGCAGAGATAATATTATTCCCCAAAAACTGGTGAATTATAAAATACTAGTCAGGACAATGTAGTATGTTCCCCCAGTGTTTGGTTATGGAAATAGTTATGGTACTGGGTCATAGCCTTATAATGACATCTTGTCAGCCAATGAGAATACAGGACAACTTTCACGGCACACACTACTGACAAATAGCGAGTCTGATGCCGACGTGCGTAATTGGACAAAAGGAAAACAATGAAAGCAACAAGTACTTCATGATTTGCCGTTGTATTCGGGAATGTTTCAAGTTGACTGCATTATTTAGGGCTCCAAACTGAAAAGATACTTATAGCGAAACATTTTCAAGCTCAGGTGAAATCTCTTACTGATTTTGATAATATATATCTCATGTGTACCAGTCGAACTGACCCAGCTACAAAATGCCCCAGCAAATTTGGTCATTCTTTCTAATTTGTTCAAATTTATTTATAATGATTGAATATATGCCGTAAATGCATAGTTTTGGTCAACTTATTATGATATTATGTTCTTCATATAAAAGTTATTAGGAAGTGATATTTCTGATAAAGGTTTCATTAGTAAACTCATAACTATGTATATACTTAAATATGAAGAACATAATATCAAAGTTGACAAAACTATGCATTTATGACCTATATTTATTCATTTTAAATAAATTGGGGCATTTTGACTGGGGCACTTTGACCCTACATTTTGTAGCGGGGCATTTTGACTGGCAATTTGACCAAATTTGCTGGGGCATTTTGTAGCGGGGCAATTCGACTGAGCAATCGGACTTGATTTAATTTATATTAAAAATATCACTGACAGTAAATTGTTACAGGGAATGATGGAGTATAAATGAATCTCGTGGGTACATTTTTCCTTCTTCAGCCTAGCTTGGGGATTTTTACCATACCATGCATGCATGTCTCTTTCATATGGCCCATCGACGCAAGTATCAAATAATTTCTGTGCATGTCTCTTTCACTTGGAAAAGCGGAAGAAATGGTGGTTCTTTCCCATGTTCGATGATGCCGTGCATCCTCAGGCAACGCAATACACTATCGTACCATTTAAAAAAACGACAGAAACAACACGATTTGTACAACTATAGCGCTTGGTCTTTGGCAATATGGCGGACTCCAGGCACATTTGACTTCATATGCATAATGGCCGAAGCTGAGATTTATAGAAACTGTTTTCGCGATTAAAACATAATTATACATAATTTTTAATTGAAAATTTGGGAATATGTTTCTGATGACTTTATCTTTCACCCAGCAAATTATTGCAATTCACTCGTATTCTCCTTTAAGTAAATTAAATTCAGTACTGAGTACTGGTGTTATTAAAAGTGTACAACAAACAATAAAACTGAGGTTAAGCAAGGAGTTTTGATTGGGCTGTCACTGCCAAATATTAGTAATGATAAGCATATCAAACATACCAAGAGCAACGGTGGTAGCAGCAGCAGTAGGCTAACATCTAGACTGTGAATATATATAATTTTGATTGAAACAAATAATTCCATTTAAATTGAAAAGGAGCCCAAGTGAGACGGGAGATTTAGAACCTGAGGAAAATCTAGACTTGCTTCATTAAAGCCTCTATCATTGCAGAAAGGGCTGGAATAAAGGCCAAATAATGGGATTCAGGGTCTGTAAGCCAGACTTGGTTCACTGCTAAAAGGGCAACTTGGGCCACAGAAGATTTAAGACTGACAGAGTTATTTCCCTTGCACCATGTTTTCACTCCAGCTTCCACAGTGGTCACAGGAATGTAATGTTGAACAATTTACAACAGCTTTGACAGTGACCTTGAAAACATATGAGAGACTAAAAAGGAGGCAAGTCTTGGGCCAGCTGGTTGTCCTAAAACATGTCACTATAACGATTCAAATCATTCATATCCCAGATGTTTTCATGTGAAAGTGTTGCATTTACTTACAGTAATGACATTTGAAGGGTTTGCTCCCCGTGTGTCCACGAAGGTGTATCTTGAGTTTGTCGCTGCGGCTGAAGGCTTTGCTACAGTGCATACACTGAAATGGCCGCTCCCCCGTGTGCGTACGAACATGGCGCTCCAGGTCACGCACATACAGCGTGATGAAGTTACAGGCTGCAAATGTGCACTTGTACTTTTTGCGACTTGGTGACACAGGGTCGTCTATTGCCAACATCAGCTCTGAAACACAAGTCATAGAAAATACCTGCCATAAGAAGAAGGATCAAAAGATGAATCTGGTTAATCTGAAATGTTGGAATGATAGCCGAGAATCAATTTTGGTATCAGAATAATACTGGATAGTGAGTCAGGTAAATATGAATGAGAAAGGTTATATATAAGTTTTGAAGAAACGATAACTGTGAGATATTTTTCACAATGTCAGCATTGTCAGGTTTAAACATCTTAACAAAAAACTGTAACATATGTTATATTTGGGATTACACTTTCTTAATAAAGTACAGATTCTAGTACTTTGTTGGGCTGAGTCCCATCTGGGATTCGAACCCACACCCTCAGAGTCAGGCAACTAATCGCCAGCACACAAAGTCAGCCGCCCAACCCACTCAGCCAACGCAACTTCCACCAGCCATGGGAGCAGCGCCAATTTACACTTATCAGAGGGGTACACAAAGTCCGCAGTTTAGACTATCAGTACCAGATAAGTACTAGAATCTATACTGTACTAAGAAAGTGTAATCCCAAACATTACACATGTTACAGTTGACCACTTTCTAAATGGCATTGTGTAACCTCAAGAACATATTCATATTAGTTGATACAGCATTAAAACTATTGGTTTTTTAGACATGTACAACATACTACTTAATAAAATAAAAAGAGAACAACAAATCTGAAAAACAAGTAATTGCGCTAGACTAACTGACACAATATACTGATTGGAAACATACTTACCCTGTCCCCTAATGCTAGTGAAAGGTCTGAGTGGAGGTAAGGGAGTCTCCTCTGAATACAAGACACTTTGAACTTCAGAAGCTTCTCCTTCTTCGCTCACCAAGTAGTGCTCCCCTGGTGGACAAGCTCTGTATTGGGCAGCAGAGACCCCGACTCAGTCACCATCCCCTGCTGTTCTGATGCCGACAGCATGGTCTCTGTAACAATAACCTCAGTTCTCTCCCCTTGTCGAGGCGACCCACCACTGCTCAGAGAGAGGCTGACACCACTGAATTGTTCTTCTTTTGTCTTCACTCGATTCAGGTCATAGTCTTGCTCAGGCTGTTGGATAGCCTCCACATAAATCGTCTGTGCAGGCTGTAACTGTTTAAGGTCATGATTGTCTTGACTTCTGGGTATTTTGTTCTTTTCGTCCAACGATGCTTCCTTTGTCTTCTGAAACACGGCAGCCTCTTCACTCGACAGAAACATGACACTCGACGTTGGAGCATTTTGTTCCACTTGCTGTGACCAACCTGAGGTAGAATCTTCTTGAGCTTGTAAGATGCCATCCTTGGTCAACACCATTGACTGTCCTGAACCTGACTGAACGGTGATGGAGGCCGAGTGTCGACTATCCACCTCCGACTCACCGTTCGAAATCTGTTGGGATGAGACCAACTGGCTCTCTGCGGCTTCAACAAGGTGTTTGATTGATGCCACTTCCCCTTCCGTTGTCCGGGGCAATTCATTATTACCGTTTGCTTCCAAACTGGAAGCAGACGACATCTTGGCAGCCATTTTGGCTCGCAATTCTGCCAAGGATGGGCATTGGCTCTTGTGCAGTAGAAACACTTCAACATTGTTGAACTGACTCTTGCAGGCACCACAGATGTGGATGTCAATGAAGGCATCCAGAGAACCTGGAATTACAGCATGAATCTCATGAAACACAGTAATCAAATATGTATATAACACATCGGTCTCCTAAATCATACTTCATGATATTTGTGAATTCGTGTACTTTTGAATTTGAAAGAGTTCATTTAAAATGAAATAACAAGTGTATAGTCATTTGGCTTTGTTTCTTTTGTTGTTTTCCATGTACTGACTGACTGAGTTCGAACTGTACTGATTCGAACCCGGGTCACAGGCATGACAAGCTAACGCTTTAACCACTAGGCTACCCCACCGCTCCTATTTCCATGTACCCTTTTCCTGAAAAAGACAAAAAGCAAAAGTACCTTAAAATATGTCAATCTATTCATCACACTCCCAATACATATGCACATTTTTACATTACTCTCCCCAAGAAACTGTCATGTTTTTCTCCCTCTGAACCACTTAAAACCCCACCAACTCAGATTAAAGTTCTTTCCTTATTGAACTTTAAAATAAATCTATCTTCTCCCTCTGCTACCAGATTCTTTCTTATGGGGTAAAAAAATGCCTTTCTATAATCTGCAATATTTGCAACTGTCAACCAAAAACTTGGCAAGCTTACTCTGGCTGAGTGGGTATTCACAGGGGCATGGTTATATTTAAGGTTTACAAATGTTCTGATACTGCAAACATATCAGTGGCACATAAACATGTGTAATTTGAAGATTTCTCTTGTTCCAGTGTCACAGATCATAGCTATGTGAGTGAGTGAGTTGAGTTTTACAACTCACTCAGCAATAGTCCAGCTTTATGGTAGCGGTCTGAAAATAATTGAGTTTGGACCAGACAATCCAGTGACCAACATCATGAGCATCAATCTACACATGGGATACGATGACATATGTCAACCACCTCAGTGAGCCTGACCTCTTGATCCCGTTAGTTGCCTCTTACGACAAGCATGGGTTACTGAAGATCAATTCTAACCTGGATATTCACTGGTTCATAGCTGTGTGTAAAATATCCTGTATGACAATATATGTATGCTAAACCCAAAGTTACATTGCTGATATTTTATAAAGTTCCATGTCTAAAACTTAAATCAGTTATATAAACCCCCTTTAATGAATTGTTTATTTCTGCATACATAGTATACCTGCAATACTCTTGTGGGGAGGTAATATTCATATAAAAGTAATAGTGTTATGTGGGTGTTGTTTTTCAATTTTCATTGAAGAAAAACATTTATAATTTCCAAGTAACTGTGATGATATTTTGTTCTGTTAATGATGAAATGTGTATAGTGTGCCAAATGGTGAATACATACATCTAACAACAGATATTGATTTTTTTGTCTTGATACATTAAATATTATTTTTCTAAATGTTATTTTGTTATTTGTTAATTCCATATGAGATGATTAATTTCTTCACAAAAACAGAAATGTTAATATATTTATATTCCATGCTCAAGAAAGTTTCTAATTATCACTGGATAAACTACAAGCATCATTATTCAACATAATGTTTTAAATACAGTTGCAAAAAGATGACATTTAATATTGTAAGAATAATGTACACATATCCCGCACTTATTCATTTCGGAGTCTCTTCCCAAATTTAAAGTGAGAATGGAACGCATGGCAGCGATCCCGTTTGTTTATAGATAAGCCCGGCACCAAGCACATGAAGAACGTTTATTCTGTCAGGTGCCCTTGAACGGCGTCATGCTAAAATAGTCAGACGTATTATTAGTTTATCAACAGATGACAGCTTTGATATGCAGCTTCAAGAAAACTAAACTAAGTCACTGCTCGTTGAATTTCACCATGTCAACTTCACGTTGCGGTTCATCTGGCACCATGGTAGAAGGGGCCCGAGTTGTCAGTGACTGCACAGGGCCCGGCGCCGTTCCTGGCCCTTCCTCGCCCCAACCGAGTGTCGCCATAACGAGGCCTCGTTTCAACATCGCCCCTCGCGCTCAGAGAAGTTTAAACTGGCAGGACATTAGGTTAAAACAGTTTAAAACATGCATACTCTGTTTCTCCATCGCGGTACCACAAGTTGTGGGACGCCTTAGTAATACAGGGTCGGGGTTATCCCATCAGCGTTCGTCTTCTTTTTACGAATACACACAATGGCGGAACATGGACGATTATCATAACGGAAGTAGATGCAACATTCCTCGCGCAACTAATACTACAGGCAACTAGGTCAACCATGTAAATCACGACTGGCGATTCTGAAAAGCACAGGAGATTAAATCAATCTTTGCATAATAATTGTTTTGGCATTTTCTGTAGATGAAACGAAACTGAAGCGTTTTTCAATGACATTCGGATGATATTTACGTTCCAAAGAAAGTATATGCAACCATTACAATTTACACAAAGTGTCAATTTTCACGGCAAATGTACGTTAACTGTCAAGTTATCATAATCTCATAATGTTTAAAAGCAGGACAAATAACCAAAATGAATAATTTTCTTTATTCCGCCTCAGTTCTTATGATATTATTGCTAATTCATGTACTAAAAATTGTCACCTGAAGAAGGGTCAAGAACTAGCACAGAAACGTTGTGAAACATAAATCAAGAAGTAAGATAAGATTTGTCTTGTATTACTACACCAACTTTTAAATGCCTTTGAAGAATTTAAAAATATTATAATTAAATTGTTAATTCAATATCAATATTTTGTAATCCGGGGCCCATATTAACGGCCATGTACATGAAACTTCCGTGCAACGTAAGTATTATACATACTGCGGAGATGTTCTATACATAAGTCCGATATCGAAGGAGCAGCAGCAGCAGCACTAGTAGTCGTAGTAGTAGTAGTCGTAGTGGTACTAGTATTTGTCGTCGTCGCCGTCATCGTCGTCGTCGTAGTAGTAGTAGGAGGAGGAGTGAGTGAGTGAGTTTTACGCCGCACTCAGCAATATTCCAGCTATATGGCGGCGGTCTGTAAATAATCCAGTCTGGACCATACATCCAATGATCAACAGCATGAGCATCGATCTGCGCAATTGGGAACCGATAACATGTGTCAACCAAGTCAGCGAGCCTGACCACCCGTTTCCGTTAGTCGCCTCTAACGACAAGCACGGGTTAATGAAGATCAATATTCTAACCCGGACCTTCACGTAGTAGTAGTAGTAGTAGTAGTAGCAGTAGCAGTAGCAGTAGCAGTAGCAGTAGTAGCAGTAGCAGTAGCAGTAGCAGTAGTAGTAGTGGCAGTAGTAGTATCATATTCTTCTGCTAAAGTCTTCGCAAATCAGTCTTGCTTATTTTTTTTAGTTTTTTTAATATTGCTTCCTCATGATCTATGGCATACTTTGTTCATTCAAAACCTGACAAAGTTGATATTTCCGAGCCTGCCACAGACCCCCAATCAGATACACACGATGTTTTACAAGAAAAGTTCCTTTTTAATGTATTATGCATTTTATCATCTATCTTCGTGATTCTGGGGCGGTGGGATAACATAGTACTAAGGCTTAGGTTAAAGCGTTCGCTCGTCACGCCGAAGGCCCAGGTTCGAGTCCCCACATGGGTTCAATGTGTGAAGCCCATTTATGGTGTCCCCCGCGGTGATATTGCTGAAATATTGCTAAAAGCGGCGAAAAACCATACTCACTCACTCGCTTCATCATTCGATCTACTCTAAATATATTCACAGTGATCTGCAGTAGGACTGCACGGTATTGTACCGGTATACCGGTATATTGCAATACGCTTGTCAAACGATTTTATATTTCCAAGATATTTTTATGGATTAAACTTCTTTGTAATTTCTCTCACGACGTTTCGAGACCATTCCAGGTCCCTTCATCAGGTGAACTGTATTATTTGTATTGCAATATATACTCATGCCAATAATGGTTGTCACCCCCTTCAATTTTTAATTGGAGAGGGGTGTGGGTGGGTGTGTGGGTTGGGGTGGGAGGGGGTGACAACCATTATTGGCATGAGTATATTTTCTGAGAACCGGTATATTGGGTGAAGAACTTATATGGAGTTTTTGTAATTATTTGTATGGTTTAAATTAAAACATACACAGACTTTCATTCACAACAAAAGTTTTCCTTCGTTATTCGATGATAAAACTGCATACTGTAATACTATAAAGTGCATACTGTAATACTATAAAGTGCATAAAAGAGAATGTAGAATCCCTGACTCTGCAACCAAATTTTAAGATTGCAGTAATATAAGAACCATAGCATATATGTTTAGGGTCTTATAATGTAGAAAATAAGATTGACATGAACAAGTAGTGTTATTCACTGTCAAACACTTGTCGCAATACGTATCGCAATACGGGTACCTGAATCGCAATATATTGCAATGCAATTTATTTGCCAGTTCACAGCCTAATCTACAGACAAACTAAAAGCAATATACGAATTTTTTATCCTTACGATATCAAACAGACGAAACTTCCCAATCAATAAAAAGCAATAGATACGAAATACTTGTATATTTATGAGTTCAAACGTTTTTCGGCATTTTAGGTTCAACAGAAGCACCATTACTAACACAGTAAATATAGTTGATATTTAAAGTGTGATGACGTCAGAATAGTTTTGACGTCAGAGACTAAAATGGAAACCCGTGAACCTATCCCAGATATAAATGGATGGCTTCTAGAGGTAATTCAATCAATATCATTGTGATTTTCTGTGGTGTTTATATTCCTGATGATACAAATGAAACGTGCTGTGCTTTTTTATTTCAGATATACTAGTGCTCAAAAGAAAGTACACATTGTGTTTGATCAAACTTGAAAACAAAAGAAAATCATATATAAATGAACATCTGTTTTATTTCAATAGATTATTCAATTCTACAGCAAATGTACACAGTTTCCTTTCACACAAAGTCGAAAGTACCCTTTGACTGACACTGAAAGACAAGTGGTATCATAGTCTGATATATGGATGAACTCGAAAGTGCCCTTTGACTGACACTGAAAGACAAGTGGTATCATAGTCTGATATATGGATGAACTCGAAAGTACCCTTTGACTGACACTGAAAGACAAGTGGTATCATAGTCTGATATATGGATGAACTCGAAAGTACCCTTTGACTGACACTGAAAGACAAGTGGTATCATAGTCTGATATATGGATGAACTCGAAAGTACCCTTTGACTGACACTGAAAGACAAGTGGTATCATAGTCTGATATATGGATGAACTCGAAAGTACCCTTTGACTGACACTGAAAGACAAGTGGTATCATAGTCTGATATATGGATGAACTCGAAAGTACCCTTTGACTGACACTGAAAGACAAGTGGTATCATAGTCTGATATATGGATGAACTCGAAAGTACCCTTTGACTGACACTGAAAGACAAGTGGTATCATAGTCTGATATATGGATGAACTCGAAAGTACCCTTTGACTGACACTGAAAGACAAGTGGTATCATAGTCTGATATATGGATGAACTCGAAAGTACCCTTTGACTGACACTGAAAGACAAGTGGTATCATAGTCTGATATATGGATGAACTCGAAAGTACCCTTTGACTGACACTGAAAGACAAGTGGTATCATAGTCTGATATATGGATGAACTCGAAAGTACCCTTTGACTGACACTGAAAGACAAGTGGTATCACAGTCTGATATATGGATGAACAACTTCTTTATTACAGTGAGAATATTGCTGAGTGCGGTGTACAACTAAACACACTCACTTGCAGTGAGAGCGACGTTTGATCACTTGCTTGATAACGGTGTCAGAATTTACACAGAAACATCGCTCTCACTTTAACAGTGCATGAGTGAGTGAGTTTAGTTTTACGCCGCACTCAGCAATATTCCAGCTATATGGCGGCGGTCTGTAAATAATCGATCCCGTTAGTCGCCTCTTACGACAAGCATGGGTTACTGAAGGCTCATTCTAACCCGGACCTTCACGGGACCTCACTGTAATAAAGGAGTTGTTCATCCATGTACTGTTATCTTTCCCTACTGCTCCGACTTCTAAATGTCTCTCAAAGAAGTTAGTATTGTCGTCCAGGAAAGCTGCCCCTGTGCTCAGAGGATGACCATGGACATGTGCTACAACAACCCTGTCCTAGATATCTTTGATGTACCGTCGTCCATTCAGATTTTGTCTGGTAGCCTTTCTCGAACAGCTACACCACCAATGAACCCCCGCAAGAAGGTACGTAAGATATTCTATCTATTTTCAGTTAATGTACTGTAGCTGACAAGAGCTGCTTAAATTTGTGTTTTGAAGTTTGCTTCGTAAAATAACTGAGTCTGTATTTGTTTCTAATGTTACTATAATGATCACACATTAGAAGAACATGTTATTCGTCTTCCTGGGCATACATTTATAGTATATTTGCACACAATAGGTTTGTTATATTATGAAATTGTCCCTTATAACACCTTAACTGATAGTAAACTGAACGACACTGGGATAAGGCTATTACTTGATTCATATTGATATAGCGAATATATGGTTCACATATGAAGTTTTCTTTAAACACGGAATACTGACTGACTGAGTTTGGTTTTACGCCGTTTTAGCAATATTCCAGCAACATCACGGCGGGGGACACCAGAAATGGGCGTCACACATTGTACCCATGTGGGGATTCGAACCCGGGTCTTCGGCGTGACGAGCCAACGCTTTAACCACTAGGCTACCCCACCGCCCCTAAACACGGAATAATCAATAGTACAGGAACTATTTTGGAGTTTTGCACGAAACTCTTGTATAAAGCAATCTTTGGTTCTTCTTCTTCTTACAAATAAATTTAAGAAGTTTTCCAACTCATTGTTATATCCACGCTTATATAGCCAAGCCCAAATCTAAACAGAACTGTTTTCACATGTGAAGTCCGGGGCGGTGGGGTAGCCTAGTGGTTAAAGCGTTGGCTCGTCACGCCGAAGACCCGGGTTCGATTCCCCACATGGGCACAATGTGTTAAGCCCTTTTCTGGTGTCCCCCGCCGTGATATTGCTGGAATATTGCTAAAAGCGGCATAAAAGTAAACTCAGTCAGTCAGTCAGACATGTGAAGTCCAATTAAACCTATTACACTCGGCGCTTGCATTAAATCTAGATTGCGTAACATGTTGTATGCTTTTGATGGGTAACGTGAAGAGGACACGGAGAGGA